CTCTGGTCTCTTTCTGGTCTCTCTGGTCTCTTTCTGGTCTCTCTCTGGTCTCTCTGGTCTCTCTCTGGTCTCTCTCTGGTCTCTCTCTGCTCTCTCTCTGGTCTCTCTCTGGTCTCTTTCTGGTCTCTCTGGTCTCTCTGGTCTCTCTCTGCTCTCTCTCTGGTCTCTCTCTGCTCTCTCTCTGGTCTCTCTCTGGTCTCTCTCTGGTCTCTCTCTCTGGTCTCTCTCTGGTCTCTCTCTGGTCTCTCTCTGGTCTCTCTCTGGTCTCTCTCTGGTCTCTCTCTGGTCTCTCTCTCTGCTCTCTCTGGTCTCTCTCTGGTCTCTCTCTGGTCTGCTGTGATGTCACTGAGGCCTGAACAATGCACACAGCCCCGGTTGGCCTTGGTCTCCGGCTCCATGTGACATCACAGTCTCTGTTTTTAGACGTATTAAAGAGGAAATGTTGAGCTTCTTTTGGCTCATTGTTTTGTTTTTACAGCTGCTCCAGACTCAGGGATTTTAGACCATTTTCACACTGCACCACTTACCCTCAAAAGTACAGGACACAGGAAGAAATACATCTCTGCCACTTCCTCTGACGACATTTAGACATTTAGACATTTAGACAGTTCTGAAGGCTACTGTAATGATGATTTAGGATTTATTGGTAACGCTTTATATTAAGGTGTGCTTGTTAAGTATTAATAAGGTATTAATAGACATTAGCATCATGCTTATAGATTGCTTATATGTACTTATAAACATATTAATAAGCTGCTCATTTCACTATTCTCTAAATGATGTTGTTCTAGTTATATGCTTTTAAGCATTTAATAAGTAATTAGTAAGATACATTTATATATTTATAAATATATGAATAAGCTGCCTATTAAACTATTATCAATACCATGTTAATAGGCCACTAACAATATGCCTATAAAGATATTAATACGCTGCTTATTAATAGGCAATAGTGGTAATAGGCCACAAAAATATGCGTTAATAAACTGCTTATTACACTATTTTGCAGTACCCTAATCTAAAGCGAGGAGCATTTGTATAAATGCAGAAAAAAACACAACATTGATCTAAGATGTTTTTATTTATTCAAACAGCAACAATGAAAAAAAAAATCAAAATGAAGTTTGTGCCAAAAGTTTGTTAGTAACTTCAGGAGCCATGATGAACCCACTCATGCTCGACCTGCTCTGTTCATGAATTTGGCTTTGGCAAAACAGTGAATCAACTGACTTCACGAGCCTGAGAGATTAGCGGAACTCGCCTATTTTTGGGCATCGTCTGGTCCTCCCGGTTCTGCGCAGTGGACGAGCTCCCATGATGCTTTGCGCCAAATACGCATGCGTGGCTGTCATGCACGTGCACAGAGGGGCAGCTCTGACCAATCAGAGCTGCTGATCAGAGCGAGAGTTAGAGCGGGAGCCAGACGAGTAGAGTTTGTGGCAGTAAAGTGTGGATTTAAAGGACAACTCACCCTCAAATCCACTTTTTTTTGCTGATAAACGGTATAAATGAGTGTCCAATAGTGTTGTCTACATATCCTGGTCATAACTTTGTCACTTTGGTGCAAATTAGTTGAAAGTTAAACTTTCTGCCTAAAACCATCTGTGAGGCGCCATCTGCTGGCGACCTGTATTACTACATTTGAATTTTGAATCTGGCGCCTGAGACCTGACGTCAGCAGCCCCCCGCCCAGAGCAATGTAATCGGCCCAGTCTCGTTCACGCCCCCTATAGTCCTCCAGGCCACGCCCATTTAGAGGAAGATTTGAACAGGAAATGTGAGTAACGTAAGCTCCAAGGAGCGGGGGTGAGAACCACTTTAAAGAAAACTGAAGGATTTAAGAAGAAAAAAAGTTCAGGATGACAAGGGACACTAAAATCCCCAGAAAATCCGAACTTTATGAAAGCTGTGGGTTCTCTATCAGGTTCTCTGTCAGCTGAGGTCGAGCTGTTTTAATTTACATTGAGTTCTAGGGGACTTTTTCTGGGTAGCCCTCGTGAGTTTAGTCTGCAGTACCACAGCGCCCCCTGTGCCCATGGGTGGGACAGCTATAAGCTAGGAATACACTATCCAGTTATTATTATAGATCCATGGTTGTGCCACAGGTGCGTTGTATACATGATCTATTATAATAACTGGATAGGGTATTACTAGCTTGTAGCTCGGGGGATTCTCGTGGTACTGCAAACTAAATTCACGTGGGCTACCCAGAAATTGTCCCATAGAACTCAATGTAAATTAAAACAGCTCGACCTCAGCTGCCAGAGAACCTACAGCTTTCAGAAAGGTCGGATTTTGTTGGGATTTTAGTGTCCCTTGTCATCCTGAACTTTTTTTCTTCTTAAATCCTTCAGTTTTCTTCAAATCCACACTTTACTGCCACAAACTCTACTCGTCTGGCTCCCGCTCTAACTCTCGCTCTGATCAGCAGCTCTGATTGGTCAGAGCTGCCCCTCTGTGCACGTGCATGACAGCCACGCATGCGTATTTGGCGCAAAGCATCATGGGAGCTCGTCCACTGCGCAGAACCGGGAGGACCAGACGATGCCCAAAAATAGGCGAGTTCCGCTAATCTCTCAGGCTCGTGAAGTCAGTTGATTCACTGTTTTGCCAAAGCCAAATTCATGAACAGAGCAGGTCGAGCATGAGTGGGTTCATCATGGCTCCTGAAGTTACTAACAAACTTTTGGCACAAACTTCATTTTGATTTTTTTTTTCATTGTTGCTGTTTGAATAAATAAAAACATCTTAGATCAATGTTGTGTTTTTTTCTGCATTTATACAAATGCTCCTCGCTTTAGATTAGGGTACTGCAAAATAGTGTAATAAGCAGTTTATTAACGCATATTTTTGTGGCCTATTACCACTATTACCTATTAATAAGCAGCGTATTAATATCTTTATAGGCATATTGTTAGTGGCCTATTAACATGGTATTGATAATAGTTTAATAGGCAGATTATTCATATATTTATAAATATATAAATGTATCTTACTAATTACTTATTAAATGCTTAAAAGCATATAACTAGAACAACATCATTTAGAGAATAGTGAAATGAGCAGCTTATTAATATGTTTATAAGTACATATAAGCAATCTATAAGCATGATGCTAATGTCTATTAATACCTTATTAATACTTAACAAGCACACCTTAATATAAAGCGTTACCGATTTATTTAATATTATAATATGAAGGGCCAGTGATTGTGTGTGTGTGTGTGTATGCCTTTGTGTATGTGGATAGGACTGTGTGTATTGTGTTACAGTAAGGACCATTGTGTAGAAATGGCGGAAACCGGTAACTTTGCCTAAAGCTAAATTCTCGCGGTATTTGTGACTTTACAAACAAACGAGAATAACTATTGTACCCCTCCCGCTCACACTTTTTGAGTCTTCTACCCAATCATGGGCCAGTCTTGAAGTGTAGGGCGGGATTTCCGGGTTTGACAAAAGCAAGCAGTGCTGAGCCAAGGTAAAACAAACATGGCCACCAATTCTGACCCAGCAGGACGGATTCTGAGGCTATCAAGTCAGTTTAAGCAGAATGTTTGATTTTTAATTTGAACGATGAACAGCAGAGGTACCTTGTGCATTTCTGGACGGAAAAGCCGATGACGATATATTACTTTGTCACCGTGATTGGCTTAAGTCAAACCGTGGTAGGCGGGCAAACAGCGTCACTTCGCCCAATCAGCTTGAAGTATTCTGCTGCCGTCCTCTCCTTCACCCAAATGATTCTCCTGCAGAAGCCCCTGATTGATATTGTTGAGAACTCATTTAGGTCCTACACAATCATCAATCTTAGGTAAGAAACCGGAGCATCTGGAGGAAACCAATGCAGACCCGAGAGAGAGCAGAGAGAGAGAGAGGGAACAGAGAAGGAGCAGAGAGAGAGACATCAAAGACCAGAGAGTCGAACCCACTACTCAAGATACTATTAAACATCACAAATATGGAAATGAAAGCCATTAAAGTCATTAAATAGTCTCATTGTCATTTTGAAAGGCCAAAGATAAGGCTTAGAGTTCTTTAAATTAACTAATGTTTTAAATAAAAAAACACAAAAAACTTCTCTCAAGATCATGTCTGAGCCAAAAGTAACACAGAAAATACGTTTACTGGTGAAATATCTTGTAATTCAGGATTATTTCTCTTCAAACGTCTTAACAATAATCAGAGTGACTGTTTGTGGACGTCTGGACTGAAGGATTTCCTCTGAACAACAAGCTCTGGACCGGGTCACATTTCAGATTCCTCCAAGAAATTATTATCTTTGGTCGAAATAAAGAGGAGAGAGTTCTGGGACTGAGGCTGTAGACCCAGGACTGAGACTGTAGACCCAGGACTGAGGCTGTAGACCCAGGACTGAGACTGTAGACCCAGGACTGAGGCTGTAGACCCAGGACTGAGGCTGTAGATCCAGGACTGAGGCTGTAGATCCAGGACTGGAGGCTGTAGACCCAGGACTGAGGCTGTAGATCCAGGACTGAGGCTGTAGACCCAGGACTGAGGCTGTAGACCCAGGACTGAGGCTGTAGATCCAGGACTGAGGCTGTAGATCCAGGACTGAGGCTGTAGATCCAGGACTGAGGCTGTAGATCCAGGACTGAGGCTGTAGATCCAGGACTGAGGCTGTAGACCCAGGCTGAGGCTGTAGATCCAGGACTGAGGCTGTAGACCCAGGACTGAGGCTGTAGATCCAGGACTGAGGCTGTAGATCCAGGACTGAGGCTGTAGACCCAGGCTGAGGCTGTAGATCCAGGACTGAGGCTGTAGATCCAGGACTGAGGCTGTAGATCCAGGACTGAGGCTGTAGATCCAGGACTGAGGCTGTAGATCCAGGACTGAGGCTGTAGATCCAGGACTGAGGCTGTAGATCCAGGACTGAGGCTGTAGATCCAGGACTGAGGCTGTAGATCCAGGACTGAGGCTGTAGATCCAGGACTGAGGACCCACACTAGGTCTGGTTTAAATCCATAACTGTGTCTCTCTCAGGACAGCTCTCCGCAGCCGGACATGGAGCAGAGGCTGCGCTCGGCCTCCACGGTGGACGAGCTCATGAGCCTGATGTACCCGTCCTTCTGGGCAGCTCTAAAGTGCAAGTCTAAGCTGACGGCTGCGGGCTCCGGATCCAGGCTCCGGTACCAGGCCCAGACCCAGACCCAGACCCAGAGATCCAGGCCTCGCTCCGGGACTGAGGAGCCCACCTACGCTGCGGCTTACCTCAACCTCGACATGCTCAAAAGTAATCATCAAAGACTATTTCAATTCAATTAAATTCAATGTATTTGTTTGTAGCCCTAAATCACAACATGGCCTCTCTCTCTCTCGCTGGTCTCTCTCTGGTCTCTCTCTGGTCTCTCTCTGGGCTCTCTCTGGTCTCTCTCTGGTCTCTCTCTGGTCTCTCTGGCCTCTCTCTGGTCTCTCTCTGGGCTCTCTCTGGTCTCTCTCTGGTCTCTCTGGCCTCTCTCTGGTCTCTCTGGTCTCTCTGGCCTCTCTCTGGTCTCTCTCTGGGCTCTCTCTGGTCTCTCTCTGGTCTCTCTGGCCTCTCTCTGGTCTCTCTGGTCTCTCTGGTCTCTCTGTTGTCCCTCGCTGGTCTCTCGCTGGTCTCTCTCTGGGTCTATCTGGTCTCTCTCTGGTCTTTCTGCTCTCTCTGGTCTCTCTGGTCTCTCTCTGGTCTCTTTTTCTGGTCTCTCTCTGGCCTCTCACTGGTCTCTCTGGTCTCTCTCTCTGGTCTCTCTCTCTGGTCTCTCTCTAGTCTCTCTCTGGTCTCTCCCTGGTCTCTCTCTAGTCTCTCTCTCTATAACCTCTCTCTCTCTTGTCTCTTTCTGGTCTCTTTCCAGTCTCTCTTTCTGATTTATCTTTTCTCTCTCTCTCCTTTCTTTCTCTCTCTGTGCTCTCTCTCTTTTCTCTCTCTCTCTGTCGTGCCTTAACCCTGAACAAAAACAAACTGAATCAACCTTATCCTGGCCTGTGTAATGCGCTATACATATAAATCTGCCTTCCTTCCATGTGCAGGTATAGAGTCCGAGTGGAGGAAGACCCAGTGCAGTCCGCGGGAGGTGTGTGTGGACGTGGCCCGCGAGTTTGGAACCCCCACAAACCTGTTCTACAAACCCCCGTGTGTGTCCGTGTCCCGCTGCGGAGGCTGCTGCCACTCAGAGGACAAGCAGTGTCGCAACATCTCCACCGGATACGTCAGCAAGACTGTGAGGGCTCTACTCTACTCTACTCTACTCTACTCTACTCTACTCTACTCTGCTCTGCTCTGCTTTGCTCTACTCTGCTTTACTCTGCTTTACTCTACTCTACTCTACTCTACTCTCTACTCTACTCTGCTTTACTCTACTCTACTCTACTCTACTCTACTCTACTCTACTCTACTCTACTCTACTCTACTCTACTCTACTCTACTCTACTCTACTCTACTCTACTCTACTCTACTCTACTCTGCTTTACTCTACTCTACTCTACTTTACTCTGCTCTGCTTTACTCTGCTTTACTCTGCTCTACTCTGCTCTACTCTACTCTACTCTGCTTTACTCTGCTTTAATCTGCTCTACTCTACTCTACTCTACTCTACTCTACTTTGCTCTGCTTTACTCTACTCTACTCTGCTTTTCTCTGCTCTGCTTTCCTTTACACTACTGTACTCTATTCTATACTCTGTGCTCTTACTACTGTCCAGTATGTGCGCTGCAACACTGAAATTTCCCCACTGTGGGACCCATGAAGGTTCTCTTATCTTATCCTCTCTCCTCGGTCCAAGTCCCTGAGGAGCACAGGGACCGGCCTCCTGCTGGGACTCTGAGGAGCACAGGGACTGGCCTCCTGCTGGGACTCTGAGGAGCACAGGGACCGGCCTCCTGCTGGGACTCTGAGGAGCACAGGGACTGGCCTCCTGCTGGGACTCTGAGGAGCACAGGGACCGGCCTCCTGCTGGGACTCTGAGGAGCACAGGGACTGGCCTCCTGCTGGGACTCTGAGTCATAATTAAACATGGGGAGGCAGCGTTTTAGATTTATGCAGCTAAAATCTGGAACAATCTTCCTGAAAGTGTGAGACAGGCTTCTTCTCTGACAATGTTCAAATCCAGTTGTTTTAGCTGTTCTGTTTTGTGGTCCATAACGACTCGGTTCTGTCTGCGGCTACTCAAAGTTAGCGTCTGTTTTCCTTCTCTGCTGGGGTCCTTCCTGAATCTGCCCCGTGAGCTGCCTGCTCATAAATCACAGTATAATATAGTGTTAATATTTGGACACTGAGTGGTTTGAGAAGGCGGTCGGCTCTAGCCGCTCTGTGGGAAAGCTGTCACTCAAACACAACACGTTGACGCCTCATTCATTTCATTGTTTATTTTAGTAATTTGAATTATTGGATCAAAAACAGACATTAGACATATGAAGACTTGTGTTAGACTCACAGACAACAGGAATCCTTTTGTCGCCTCTTTTTGACTAAAAAAACTGGTCTCCTTCTAGTCTCTCTCTGTGATCTCTCTCTGGTCTCTCTCTGGTCTTTCTCTGGTCTCTCTCTAGTCTCTCTCTGGTCTCTCTGTGATCTCTCTCTAGTCTCTCTCTGGTCTCTCTCTGGTCTCTCTCTGGTCTCTCTCTAGTCTCTCTCTGGTCTCTCTCTGGTCTCTCTCTGGTCTCTCTGGTCTCTCTGTGATCGTCTCTCTAGTCTCTCTCTGGTCTCTCTCTGGTCTCTCTCTGGTCTCTCTCTGGTCTCTCTGTGATCTCTCTCTAGTCTCTCTCTGGTCTCTCTCTGATCACCCTCTGGTCTCTTTGTGATCTCCCTTCAAAGTTCTCATCCCATATTTTCAGCTCATTCAGTCTTACTGTATATAAACATTGAAACATTAAGAATCTTTTCTCCTCGTGCACAGAATGTTCAGAATCATGGCTTTCGTTCAGAGTTTGACATAAGTTAAATGTGTGTTTCTATAATCTGCTTATTCCACGTCTAAAGCAAACAGATTAAATGCATAGTTCCACGACACAGAGGGAAAGGCCGCAACAGCTGACTGACTGACAGCGTACACAAACAGCCCTGGGAGTCACCATTGGACTGTGTGAGCTGAGAGCTGATTGGCCGGGAGATGGGGGTCCTCTCTTTTTCACTTCTTTAACTTAGAAACTTGTAAAGATGTGACAGAGGCTAAAACATGACTCTTGTGGTTTGAAAGTTAGACACCGCAGCTTTAAAATTAGTTTATGGAACCGGATTTGTCAAAATTTTCTACAAAATTGTGACCTGGGAGAGACCAGAAAGAGAGGCCAGAGAGAGACCAGAGAGAGAGAGACCAGAGAGAGAGGGAGAGACCAGAGAGAGACCAGAGAGAGACCAGAGAGAGAGAGAGAGAGACCAGAGAGAGAGAGAGACCAGAGAGAGAGGGAGAGACCAGAGAGAGAGAGAGAGACCAGAGAGAGAGGGAGAGACCAGAGAGAGACCAGAGAGAGACCAGAGAGAGAGAGAGAGACCAGAGAGAGACCAGAGAGAGAGAGAGAGACCAGAGAGAGACCAGAGAGAGAGAGAGAGAGACCAGAGAGAGAGGGAGAGACCAGAGAGAGACTGGAGAGAGACCAGAGAGAGAGGGAGAGACCAGAGAGAGACCAGAGAGAGACCAGAGAGAGAGAGAGAGACCAGAGAGAGAGGGAGAGACCAGAGAGAGAGAGACCAGAGAGAGAGGGAGAGACCAGAGAGAGACCAGAGAGAGAGAGAGACCAGAGAGAGAGAGAGACCAGAGAGAGAGGGAGAGACCAGAGAGAGAGAGAGACCAGAGAGAGAGGGAGAGACCAGAGAGAGACCAGAGAGAGACCAGAGAGAGAGAGAGACCAGAGAGAGAGGGAGAGACCAGAGAGAGAGGGAGAGACCAGAGAGAGACCAGAGAGAGGCTGAAGAGGGATCAGAGAGAGACCAAAGAGAGAGGCCAGAGAGAGACCCGAGAGAGACGAGGGAGAGACCAGTAAGACCAGGGAGACCAGGGAGAGACCAGAAAGACCAGTGAGAGACCGGAGAGAGTGAGCCAAAGAAAAGGCCCTTTTGTCACTTCCCGTTTCTCACAATGGCAATAAAAAACAATTCTGATTTAGATTTTAAACTTGTGGAAGTCTTGGACACACTGTATTCTCTGAGTCTGTGATCTCCGCAGGGGTTTAGTCCATTACATGCCGTGGTGTTGTTAATGAACTGCCTCACAGTCAGTCGGGGCCATTGTTCCAAAAGCAGCTGTTTTGACCATTTCCTCCGCACTTCCTGAATGATCTGATAACTCTCCGCATCCAAGTCGCCCGGAACTCTCCACCGCCACGGCAGGAAAGAGCCAATCAAACCCAGCCGTAAAGACACACAATGCAAGACGCAGGAGTTGACGTTAGGATGCTACATGTTAGCTTAGGATGCTACATGTTGTTCCGTCTATGTTCCTCCAGTCAGCTCTCCTTTGACTGAGATAAAACCTTTCATAGTAGTTCCTTGTTTACTCATCGCTGACTCGGTTTGGCAAAGTTAGATTAAGTTATACCGGATCTGTCCTCTGCATTTGACCCATCTTTCTTTGCCACTTTATCATAGGTTCTGTTATGAATTTACCAGGGTTTAGTAATTGAAAGAGAGCAGAGAGAGAGCAGAAAGAGAGCAAAGAAAGAGAGCAAAGAGGGAGTAGAGAGAGACCAGAGAGAGCCTAGAGAGAGACCAAAGAAAGAGACCAGAGAGAGACCAGAGAGAGCCTAGAGAGAGACCAGAGAGAGACCAAAGAAAGAGACCAGAGAGAGACCAGAGAAAGAGACCAGAGAGATTCTAGAGAGAGACCAAAGAAAGAGACCAGAGAGAGACCAGAGAAAGAGACCAGAGAGAGACCAGAGAGAGACCAAAGAAAGAGACCAGAGAGAGAGAGACCAGAGGAAGAGAGAGACAGAAAGAGACCAGCAAAAGAAAGAGACCAGAGAGAGCGCAGAGAGAGACCAGAGAGAGACCAGAGAGAGACCAGAGAAAGACCAGAGAGAGACCAGAGAGAGAGCAGAGAGAGACCAGAGAGAGACCAGAGAGAGAGACCAGAGAGAGACCAGAGAGAGACCAGAGAGAGGCCAGAGAAAGAGACCAGAGAGAGACCAGAGAGAGGCCAGAGAAAGAGACCAGAGAGAGACCAGAGAGAGACCAGAGAGAGACCAGAGAGAGACCAGAGAAAGAGACCAGAGAGAGACCAGAGAGAGACCAGAGAGAGACCAGAGAGAGACCAGAGAGAGACCAGAGAGAGACCAGAGAGAGAGCCAGAGAGAGACCAGAGAGAGACAGAGAAGACCAGAGAGAGACCAGAGAGAGACCAGAGAGAGGCCAGAGAAAGAGACCAGAGAGAGACCAGAGAGAGGCCAGAGAAAGAGACCAGAGAGAGACCAGAGAGAGACCAGAGAGAGACCAGAGAGAGACCAGAGAAAGAGACCAGAGAGAGACCAGAGAGAGACCAGAGAGAGACCAGAGAGAGACCAGAGAGAGACCAGAGAGAGAGCAGAGAGAGACCAGAGAAAGACCAGAGAGAGACCAGAGAGAGAGCAGAGAGAGACCAGAGAGAGACCAGAGAGAGAGACCAGAGAGAGACCAGAGAGAGACCAGAGAGAGGCCAGAGAAAGAGACCAGAGAGAGACCAGAGAGAGGCCAGAGAAAGAGACCAGAGAGAGACCAGAGAGAGACCAGAGAGAGACCAGAGAGAGACCAGAGAAAGAGACCAGAGAGAGACCAGAGAGAGACCAGAGAGAGACCAGAGAGAGACCAGAGAGAGGCCAGAGAAATAGACCAGAGAGAGACCAGAGAGAGACCAGAGAGAGACCAGAGAGAGAGACCAGTGAGAAAGAACAGAGAAAGAGAGCAGAGAGAGAGCAGAGAGAGACCAGAGAATTTCTAGTAGTTTCATATTTCTGAGATTCCTAGTGCTAAAAGGAAACTTCTTGTTGCTCGTTACGTTCAGCCGTGGACTATAATAAGGTTGCCGGCCTCCGTTGCCGTGGCAGCCACAGCAGCGAGAGGCTTTTCTGAGGTTTCACAACTCATTCTTTTGGATTTTCCTTGAACGATATCGTTGGCAGGGCACCCAGACGACACACAACACCTCATCTACACAGACTTCACAGTACGTCAGTGGAAACCAGAGGGAGGGACCAGAGAGAGACCAGTAAGAGCAGAGAGAGATTGGAGAGAGACCAGTAAGAGAAGAGAGAGAGATTGGAGAGAGACCAGTAAGAGCAGAGAAAGATTGGAGAGAGACCAGTAAGAGAAGAGAGAGAGATTGGAGAGAGACCAGTAAGAGCAGAGAGAGAGAGATCAGAGAGAGATCAGAGTGAAATTAGAAAGAGACTAGAGAGAGACCAGAGAGAGACCAGAGAGAGAGAGAGATCAGAGAGAGACCAGAAGGAGACCAGTAAGAGCAGAGAGAGACCAGAGAGAGAGAGACCAGAGAGAGACCCGAGAGAGAGTAGAGGGAGAGCAGAGAGAGACCAGAGAGAGACCAGAGAGGGACTAGAGAGAGACCATAGAGGGACTAGAGAGAGACCATAGAGAGACCAGCAAGAAAGTCCAGCGGGAGACCAGAATCAGAGAATTTTTTTTACAAAAATATTTTTGTTCTCCACTGTTAGACGAACAATAAAAGTAAGTTATTTATCACCTTTACTCACTTTTCATATAGTGTGTACTGGAATTTCTGCTTGCTATTGATGAATCCTAGTCCAGGACCAGTCCAGGACCAGCACCTTGAAGAGAAGGCCCTAACCACCACTGACCCAAAGCGTCCTACTACTACTAATAATAATAAACTCAAATCAATTCACATTTCAAAAAACAAGGCAATAGACATGCGCTGAGTAATTACACTACACAACAAAACCTGAAGCTGTCAAATTGACTGCTGTGTGGGGTCTGGTGTTAAACTAACCCGTGATCTGAAAGACATGTGGAAAGGCTTGCGTCTGTGCTGATGGTGGAGCAGAGAGTGGCGAGGCGTTGGCAGAGAGTGGCGAGGCGTTGGCAGAGCGTGGCGAGGCGTTGGCAGAGCGTGGCGAGGCGTTGGCAGAGCGTGGAGGACTTGGCAGGATCTCAAAGACTTCTGAGCTCCCAGTGTTAAATCCCAGAGATGGACGCGCTGCTGAAAAGGCTGCATCTGTTCTTAGGCTCACGTTTAATGGTCACAGGAACCTGGTCCAGAGTCAGACACAGATCAGCTTTGACTCCACAAGACAGCAGAGAGAGAGACTGGAGAGAGAGAGGAGAGAGAATAGAGAGGAATCAAAGAGACCAGGGAGAGGCCAAAGAGAGCAGAGAGAGAGCAGAGAGAGACCAGAGAGAGACCAGAGAGAGACCAGAGAGAGACCAGAGAGAGGCCAGAGAGAGGCCAGAGAGAGGCCAGAGAGAGACCAGAGAGAGGCCAGAGAGAGGCCAGAGAGAGACCAGAGAGAGGCCAGAGAGAGAGACCAGAGAGAGCAGAGAGAGACCAGAGAGAGAGACCAGAGAGAGACCAGAGAGAGGCCAGAGAGAGACCAGAGAGAGGCCAGAGAGAGAGACCAGAGAGAGACCAGAGAGAGGCCAGAGAGAGGCCAGAGAGAGACCAGAGAGAGGCCAGAGAGAGAGACCAGAGAGAGCAGAGAGAGACCAGAGAGAGAGACTAGAGAGAGACCAGAGAGAGAGACCAGAGAGAGCAGAGAGAGACCAGAGAGAGACCAGAGAGAGACCAGAGAGAGCAGAGAGAGACCAGAGAGAGAGACCAGAGAGAGACCAGAGAGAGGCCAGAGAGAGACCAGAGAGAGGCCAGAGAGAGAGACCAGAGAGAGACCAGAGAGAGGCCAGAGAGAGGCCAGAGAGAGACCAGAGAGAGGCCAGAGAGAGAGACCAGAGAGAGCAGAGAGAGACCAGAGAGAGAGACCAGAGAGAGACCAGAGAGAGGCCAGAGAGAGACCAGAGAGAGACCAGAGAGAGACCAGAGAGAGGCCAGAGAGAGGCCAGAGAGAGACCAGAGAGAGGCCAGAGAGAGAGACCAGAGAGAGCAGAGAGAGACCAGAGAGAGACCAGAGAGAGACCAGAGAGAGACCAGAGAGAGACCAGAGAGAGACCAGAGAGAGACCAGAGAGAGGCCAGAGAGAGGCCAGAGACAGGCCAGAGAGAGGCCAGAGAGAGAGACCAGAGAGAGACCAGAGAGAGACTAGAGAGAGGCCAGAGAGAGACCAGAGAGAGACCAGAGAGAGACCAGAGAGAGACCAGAGAGAGACTAGAGAGAGGCCAGAGAGAGGCCAGAGAGAGGCCAGAGAGAGACCAGAGAGAGGCCAGAGAGAGACCAGAGAGAGAGAGAGATCAGAGAGAGACCAGAAGGAGACCAGTAAGAGCAGAGAGAGACCAGAGAGAGACCAGAGAGAGACCAGAGAGAGACCAGAGAGAGGCCAGAGAGAGGCCAGAGAGAGACCAGAGAGAGACCAGAGAGAGACCAGAGAGAGACCAGAGAGAGACCAGAGAGAGACCAGAGAGAGACCAGAGAGAGGCCAGAGAGAGGCCAGAGAGAGGCCAGAGGGAGACCAGAGAGAGACCAGAGAGAGACTAGAGAGAGACCAGAGAGAGGCCAGAGAGAGACCAGAGAGAGGCCAGAGAGAGACCAGAGAGAGACCAGAGATAGGCCAGAGAGACCAGAGAGAGGTCAGAGAGAGACCAGAGAGAGGCCAGAGAGAGACCATAGAGAGACTAGAGAGAGACCAGAGAGAGGCCAGAGAGAGGCCAGAGAGAGGCCAGAGAGAGACCAGAGAGAGGCCAGAGAGAGACCAGAGTAGAGACTAGAGAGAGACCTTAGACAGACCAGAGAGAGACCAGAGAGAGGCCAGAGAGAGACCAGAGAGAGACCAGAGAGAGACCAGAGAGAGACCAGAGAGAGACCAGAGAGAGGCCAGAGAGAGACCAGAGAGAGGCCAGAGAGAGACCAGAGAGAGACTAGAGAGAGACTAGAGAGAGACCTTAGACAGACCAGAGAGAGGCCAGAGAGAGACCAGCATGAGGGACTAAAGAGAGACTAGAGAACCACCTCTGAGGAGCACAGGGACTGGCCTCCTGCTGGTCCCAGAGTCAGGACTTGTTTCTCTCTTGTCTTCTTCAGCACTTTGAGTTTTCCTTGTGTAAGAACTGTGCTATACAAATAAGCTTTCAGTCCTCTTACATCTGGTCTGTTTTCTTCCACAGCTGTTTGAGATCACGGTCCCCATCACGCAGGGAACCAAACCCGTGACCATCAGTGTGGCCAATCACACCCAGTGCAGCTGTCTCTCCAAACTGGACGTGTTCAAGCAAGTCCACAGCATCATCCGCCGAGCGCTGCCAGAGTGAGAACCCCTCTACTCAATTATATTCAATGAAATGTATTCTTGTACCGCCCTAAGTCACAACAGCAGTGATCTCAGAGGACTTCATAAAACTGTTGAATTCGCCAACACAGATCAGAGAATCACCCACCGCTGCACTGCAAAGAGTGGTGAAAAATTAGTCTGCTCTGACCCCCATCCAGCCTCTGTCCTGATCAGAGCGAGATTAGAGACCCGAGAGAGACTAGAGAGAGACCAGAGAGAGACTGGAGAGACCATGGAAGAGACCCGAGAGAGACTAGAGAGAGACCAGAGAGAGACTGGAGAGAGAGACCAGAGAGAGACTGGAGAGACCAGAAAGACACCAGAGAGAGACCAGAGAGAGACCAGAAAGAGACTAGAGAGACCAGAGAGAGACTGGAGAGACAAGTGAGAGACCAGAGAGAGACTAGAGAGACCAGAGAGACCAGAAATACACCAGAAAGACACCAGAGAGAGACCAAAGAGAGACAGATAGGCCAGAAAGAGACCAGAGAGAGACCAGAGAGAGACCAGAGAGAGACCAGAAAGAGACCAGAGAGAGACCAGAGTGACCAGAAAGAGACCAGAGAAAGACCAGAGAGACCAGAAAGAGACCAGAGAGAGACCAGAGAGAGACCAGAGAGAGACCAGAGAGAGACCAGAGAGAGACCAGAGAGAGACCAGAGAGAGACCAGAAAGAGACCAGAGAGAGACCAGAGTGACCAGAAAAAGACCAGAGAAAGACCAGAGAGACCAGAAAGAGACCAGAGAGAGACCAGAGAGAGACCAGAGAGAGACCAGAGAGAGACCAGAGAGACCAGAAAGAGACCAGAGAGAGACCAGAGAGAGACCAGAGAGACCAGAGAGACCAGAGAGAGACCAGAGAGAGACCAGAGAGAGACCAGAGAGAGACCAGAGAGAGACCAGAGAGAGACCAGAGAGAGACTGGAGAGAGAGACCAGAGAGAGACTAGAGAGACCAGAGAGAGACTGGAGAGACCAGAAAGACACCAGAGAGAGACCAGAGAGAGACCAGAAAGAGACTAGAGAGACCAGAGAGACCAGAGAGACCAGAAATACACCAGAAAGACACCAGAGAGAGACCAAAGAGAGACAGATAGGCCAGAAAGAGACCAGAGAGAGACCAGAGAGAGACCAGAGAGAGACCAGAAAGAGACCAGAGAGAGACCAGAGTGACCAGAAAAAGACCAGAGAAAGACCAGAGAGACCAGAAAGAGAATCAGAGAGAGACCAGAGAGAGACCAGAGAGAGACCAGAGAGAGACCAGAGAGAGACCAGAGAGAGACCAGAAAGAGACTAGAGAGACCAGAGAGAGACTGGAGAGACCAGAGAGAGACCAGAGAGAGACTAGAGAGACCAGAGAGACCAGAAAGACACCAGAAAGACACCAGAGAGAGACCAAAGAGAGACAGTTAGGCCAGAAAGAGACCAGAGAGAGACCAGAGAGAGACCAGAGAGAGACCAGAGAGAGACCAGAGAGACCAGAAAGAGACCAGAGAGAGACCAGAGAGAGACCAGAGAGACCAGAGAGAGACCAGAGAGAGACCAGAGAGAGACCAGAAAGAGACCAGAGAGAGACCAGAGAGAGACCAGAGAGAGACCAGAGAGCGACCAGAGAGAGACCAGATAGAGACTTTATGAAACCGTTGAAATTGCCAACACAGGTCAGAGAATCAAACACTGCTACACTGCAAAAAGAGTGGTGAATAATTAGTCACAAGTCTATCCTTTGAGCCACAGGAAGCCAGTGCCGAGGCCTGAGCACTGGACTAATGTGACGGTACTTCCTGGTTCTAGTCCGGACTGGAGCTGCAGTGTTTTGAATGTACCGCAGCTGTTTTACATGCGTTCGGTAAACCCTCTTTAAACTCCATGTGTAATATTATTGTAGTGGAAATAAAAACATCATGTAATAAGATTTATTTCCCCAGTTTCAGCTTAATCCAATATGAGACTGAGTTATGGTCTGAATGCAGGAACTTGGTACATTGTGTTAGCTTAATACAAACGGCCAATTTCTCAAACAGCCTCACATTCTCCCCCAGTGTCGGCAATTAATCCTGTTTGCTTTGGCTGCGTCCAAAAGCAAAGAAGGAGAGGAGGAGGATTATGAAGAGAAAACACGAGAGGTCTGTGGAAATAAATGGCGGGAGGAATCGTACGTGTGTCAAAATAATATCTACAAATGATTAACAAATGTTGGGGGAGAGAGGAGGGCGAACATCACGGCAGGTTCCTACGACCGACTGGGGTTCATTTCCTAGAGACATGTCCCGGACGCTACGGGCCTGACCCCCATCCAGCCGCTACCCTGATCAGAGAGAGACCAGAGAGAGACCAGAGAGACCAGAGAGAGACCAGAGAGAGACCAGAGAGAGACCGACCAGAGAGGGACCAGAGAGAGACTAGAGAGAGACCAGAGTGAGACCAGAGAGAGACTAGAGAGAGACCAGAGAGAGACCAGAGTGAGACCAGAGAGAGACCAGAGAGACCAGAGAGAGACCAGAGAGAGACCAGAGAGAGACCGACCAGAGAGGGACCAGAGAGAGACTAGAGAGAGACCAGAGTGAGACCAGAGAGAGACCAGAGAGGGACCAGAGCGAGACCAGAGAGAGACCAGGGAGAGACCAGAGAGAGGCCAGAGAGAGATAACAGAGAGAGACCAGAGTGAGACCAGAGAGGGACCAGAGAGAGACCCGAAAGAGACCAGAGAGAGGCTAGAGAGACTACAGAGACCAGAGAGACCAGAGAGACTAGAGAGACCAGAGAGACCAGAGAGAGACCAGAGAGAGACCAGAGAGAGACCAGAGAGAGACCAGAGAGAGACTAGAGAGAGACCAGAGTGAGACCAGAGAGGGACCAGAGAGAGACCCGAAAGAGACCAGAGAGAGGCTAGAGAGACTACAGAGACCAGAGAGACCAGAGAGACTAGAGAGACTAGAGAGAGACCAGAGAGAGACCAGAGAGACCAGAGAGAGACCAGAGAGACCAGAGAGAGACCAGAGAGACCAGAGAGACTAGAGAGACTAGAGAGAGACCAGAGAGAGACCAGAGAGAGACCAGAGAGAGACCAGAGAGAGACCAGAGAGAGACCAGAGAGACAACATGAGCATAGTTTTTGACCAGAACATTTCTGAACTCTCCGTCAGCTGCTCTGTGGCCAAACACTTTCCTTCTCTTGGTTCCTCGTCTCTGATTGGCCGAGCAGCTGTTTATTTTGGCTCTTTCTATTGTTGTTACAGAGCTTCAAAACAACAGATCTTTACCCAGTGTCAAAACGATCAGAATGATTCAGATACTTTGGTATTGGAACATGATGAAGTCGTTAGTGAAGAGATTTTTACCATTGTGTTGTTATAAAGTGAAATGGGTTGATTTTACGGACAATTACTGCATATTATTACTTTGTATTTGTTCCCAGCCAAGTCTTTTAGTGATTTAAAGTGGTTTATTTGGATTTTTCTTCTGTATTTTCTTTCATAAATACGTTTTTAAATGTATTTCTAGTGTGGGGACTGGGATTAAATATCTCAAACGGCCAAGGCCAGGTTCTCATTCTGCTGGTCACTAATTACTGATGCAGCCTTTGTATCGGACTGTTTTGGTGAAGAGGGAGCAGCGTCTGCAGTCAGAGCTCTCGATTTACTGGTCAATCTACGTTCTGACTCTGAGCTAATGGACGAGATATAAATAATAATGCTTATATAATGCAGGTATAATGCAGGTTTATATAGCGCTTTTCTGGACGCTCAAATACATCATTTTTCTTTGTCTCTAAATACGGTGGTGATGGACTACAACAGTTGCCACAGCTGCCCTGGGGCACACTGACAGAAGCAAGCCACCTCCACTTTTCAGCCGCAGCCGCCCCACTGTGGCACCTGGTGTTCCCAGAGGTCTCCCATCATAGAACTCACCAGGCCCTGACCTGCTTAGCTTCAAAGATCTCACAGGATCTGGCTTTCACCTGCAGCTATGGCCATGTATAAGGATTGTAGATGAATGAATCTTAGCGGAAATTTTAGTAGAAATAGAATGTTGGGGGTAAATACAAAATAAATGGACTCGAATAGGAGCTCGGAGTAGAGCCGCTGCTTCTCTATGTTGAGAAGAGCAGGCAGAGGTGGTGAGGGAAGAGGTACATGGCCAAAAATACACAGCTTTGGATGCTTCCTGAGGATGTGCTCCAGGCTTGTCCCATCACACGCCCTCACAGCTGGTCTGAACACCCGGGAATCATGGGAAGTATAAAGTCTGCTCTTGAACGGCTGCCTCCACCTTCCAGCTCCAGATGAAGCGGAAGAAAATGAATTTATTGATATGACATTTTATATGAACGACTGGGATTTTATTGTTCTCCATTGTATTGTTATTGTTTGTTTGTTATCATAATGTTTTACTTATTCTACATTTTTTCTTGGCTAATTGGCTAATTCTGGTATATTTACAGAGATGTGCATTATGGGTCTTACCATGTGTAAACTCTGGTCCATGGTCATTTCCTACATGTACGTCTGGGTCTTACCATGTGTAAACTCTGGTCCATGATCATCTCCTACATGTACGTCTGGGTCTGATCCTAGTGGCTGCAGTTTCCTCGGTTGAATCTCCTCCGACCAATCAGAGAGCGGGGGAGGCGGGTGTTGTAGGTCGGTGTCGGTGACGTCAAGAGTTTGTGCTGAATTTGTTGGTTGTAGTTTGTCGGAGAATGTGATAGTAAAATAATCTGTTCTGGTTCAATCCAAATATCAAGAAACTGAAGCCGGAGCAAGAGGAATGTTTAGCAAATGTCATTGAAGCAAAGATGTTTTGGCTCTACTCCCCACGGGCTCCGTAAGTGGCAAAGGAGATGGCTACAGCTAGGCTAAATGATAAGGCTAGTCTAAATGCTGAAGTTAGGCTAAATGTGAGAAACGCACTCGGGCTCATTAAATACGTCACAGTAAACTCAGATCCAATGGTTTTAATCTGCGAAAAGAGTTAACCCCTCCCACCTGGAGGGGTCAATGGAGCACATTCAGACCTTAGTATGAAATGAAAGGAGTTCGATGGTATGGTAAGACCAGGGTGAGTCTCTGCAGCTGCTACGTGTGTGTTCAGTCGTGTGTAAACAGTGTCTGTGTGGATACAGACATGTAGATCCTGTTTGCTTCGCTAACAACGCATTAACCTCGGCCTTGGCTTCTGCTGCGGTTTTATCTCTTTATCTTATGGTTCTCAAACAGAGGTGCGCATTCCATTGTATTAATTCCAGTAGAGAAGGGTAGAGTAGGAGTAGAGTAGAGTAGAGGAAGTAGATTATTTTTTTTACATAAATAATCATTAATATCGTAGATGGAGGTGAGTGACAGCCGTGGGAGTCTCTCAGTGACATCACAAGGCTTTGGGTGACTGTGGTCTGTGAAATATAAGATAAGAGTTCCTTTATTCGTCCCACAGTGGGGAAATTTCGATGTTGCATCGCACATACAGTATAGGACAGTAGTAAGAGCACACAGGGAGCACACACAATATATACACTATATACAAATAAGTCATGAAATAGGGTACGTAAATAAATTCGACTCACTTACAAGAGGCAGGAGGAGCATGGCATGATGGAGGAGAGAGAACGTATTAAATCTCTCTCAAAAACAGAGAGTAAGAGGATGGTGGATTTCTTAAAATTAGGATTCAAGTATGGTCTGGAGCTGGATCCTGTGTCTGTACTTAAGCCTAGTGTATACTCGCGCGGCGCGGAGCTTATGGAGGTGACGTCACTTGCGCAACGCGTTGGTCACCGCAAGGCCCTTACGTTGCCTGCCGCGCAGCATCGACATTTTCTAACTACGTAAGGGTCGCCGCAAGGAAGCTCCGCTGTGATTGGTCCGTGTGTGTGTATTGGAAGGAAGCACGGAGCGGCTGCAGCAGGAGCATGGACGAGTCACTATGGAGCAGACTGCTTCAAGCTTTGAAGGAACCAAAGGAAAAGTAGTTTGGGCTCATGGCAGAGCCTGATATACAGGAGACTGTGGACTAGAGTTCTGTTGCAGATCTAACATTTATATAACATTTGTTTGAATCGTAGCTGCGTCTGTTCCATTCCTCCTGCACTTATAAATTGTTCATGTTTGTCTCAGATTTTTACCACTTTTATTGTTTTGCTGTTTGTGCTGAATACAATTTAATAATAACTATGTTTCCAACAAGAACTGTGTCTTTATTCACAACATCACAGTTAAATGAGTTAAGAAATAATGAGTCCATAGAACTGTCACATAAACCTACAGTAGAAACACATGTAATGATCTCAAACAGCTCGGTTTGTTCATGTTTTTGTTCTGAAGAGGAGAAAGAAGCAGCGTAAATGAGACCGCTTTGGTATCTCAAGTAACTCCTGTGAGATTGCCATCATGTGTTTGGTTGTGGAATTACAACATTCTCCTTAAAACTCTGCAAGGAGTATAAATTAAAATTGTGCTTGCGTAGGTCCACGGCAACCGCTAACGTAAGCAGCGCCGCTCAAGTATACACTAGGCTTAAGGCCTTAATAAAGTCTAAAAAATAAGAATAATCTTGTGTCTCGCAGGTGTCCCGTGGCCAACAGGACCTGCCCCCGGGCTCAGACCTGGAGCTCCAGACTGTGTCGCTGCGTCAGCTCCGGAGCTTACTACAACCCTCCTCCTCCACAGAACGCCAGACCGACTCGCCATCACAACGGTGAGAGGTCTTTACAATCTGTTTACTGCTATTTTACAGCCTCAGTCCTGGATCTACAGCCTCAGTCCTGGATCTAAAGCCTCAGTCCTGGATCTACAGTCTCAGTCCTGGATCTACAGCCTCAGTCCTGCATTAACTAGGAAATGAGGACTTCGCATGCTAGCTGTTTTTAGCTTGACTGTGACTTTGAACGGATTACTTAATTATTGATGCACTTCTAACACTTGACCACTGCAAAGACTTGAACTTGTACCTTTTGAAGTCGCCGCCTTGTACCTTTTTTAAGTGTCAAATACAATTCCCAGCAACAAAATCTCACAACAAGTGAATCAAAAGAATGAAAAAACAAAAGTTAGAGTTGGGACGTCTCTGTACGAGTGAAGCAGACGTGTTGTTGAAGGGAAGCTGATTCTTGGATTTCATGCTCCGGTCTTTCTTGCACAAACTGTGACTGATTATTTTGACTCGTAAATCATTACTAAGGAAAACACGGAGAGAGAATAGTCAGTGTCCATGTGGAGGCTGAACAGGGTAAACAAAGGAGAGATTCAGGAATGTGGAGACGGAAACGCTGCAGTTTTGAAGCGATTACAAACCTGGCAACCACAGAAGATACAGTATGTGTTGTAGTTTTGCAACAGCCTTGGCTTAGTGTATTTGTAATGTTGATATTTTTAGCATCTTTTATGAAGAAATAGTTATGTAATGGATGTGCTAAGCTTGTAAGTGTGTCATTCTTCCAGGAAGTAAAAAAAAAAAAATGGCGTGTCCAAAAATGTGAGAGTAATTGTTGTTTTTTTGTTCCAGATTCACTGTTGACCTGATGAACTGGGTATTCTCTCTTCCTATGTCCACTCCTCTGTCAGAAATGTCTATATGGGGGTGTCTCACTCTGGTGTCTCTCTGGTGTCGCTCTCTGGTGTCTCTCTGGTCTCTCTCCCACTGGACTCTTTCTGGTCTCCCTCTAGTCTCCCTCTGGTCTCTCTCTCTGGTCTCCCTCTAGTCTCCCTCTGGTCTCTCTCTCTGGTCTCCCTCTGGGCTCTCTCTGGCCTATCTCTGGTCTCTCTCTCTATGATCTCTCTCTGGTCTTCCTCTGGTCCCCCTCTGGTCTATCACTGGTCTCTCTCTCTTTGATCTCTCTTTTTGGTCACTCTCTGGTCTCTCTCTGGTCTCTCTCTGGTCTTACCTCTGGTCTCACTCTGGTCTCTCTCTCTGGTCTCTCTCTGGTCTCCATCTGGTCTCCCTCTGGTCACTCTCTCTAGTCTCTGTCAGGTCACTCTTTGGTCTATTTCTGGTCTATCTCTGGTCTCTCTCTGGTCTCTCTCTGGTCTCTCTGTGGTCTCCCTTTGGTCTTTCTCTGATCTTTCTCTGAGTGGTCATAGACAGATCCAAAGGTCCAGTCCAGGACAAGGGAAAACGACTCATAATAATAATAATTTCATAAAAGTAATGCCATCAAATTGACTGCTCTGGGGGTTCTCACGTTAAACAAATCCAGTTTCTCCAGTACATTTTGTTCCAACGGTCCAAAGTTGAAAAAAAGGTCAAATTTGGACAAACAAAATGATATAATTTTAAAAAGATACATCAAATGTCTCCCTTGGAATGAGAAAATAAAACAACGGTTATTGGACTAAGGCTAAATGGGTTTGTCTTGTTGAAGAATATAGTTTTTCCACAATCAGAATGTGTCAGATTAAGATAAAAACCACTCGATTCAAGCATTTATCACCTCATATTTATAATTTTTTACAGTGTACACTCTCTGCTCTGAAGTCACTCAAACTAAAACCATTCAGGAGCTAAATATTATTCTCTTAAGTGCCTCATTTAGAAATCGCGTCTCGCCAAAACCCACAAACCGGCCTCTCCTGGTCCCGGAGCTGACTCAGACCCTGGCTCCACCCCCAAAGCCGACAGCGGTGGCCCCGGTCCAGAGAGACCAGAGGAGATGGCAGGGGTCCCGGGACTTTGCCGAGGCCCCTGACCCTTTGGCAGTGTTACGGAGCAAGATGGATGACGCTTGGGGTGAGCGGAGAGAGGTGTTACGAAAGTCACAGAGAAGCAGGAGGCCGAGGCCAAGATCAATACCAGATCTAATGAAAATAGAGTTTGTGTTGAATGATTGTGATGGGTTTGGATTCTTAGACAACAATTTTAGAACGAAGTCAGCGGGGGACGTCTGTAATGGTTTGTCGACTTTAGCTTGAGAACTTTCATATCTGTTTTAATATCTCGGAGTCTAGCGGCTAATGTTTGCAGCTGTTTGGTTTCATTGTTATACTTTGGTAGTGTTTTAAAACAGCTATCGATTTTAGTTGAGTTTGTTCATTATCCAGGACTGAGGCTGAAGATCCAGATGTAGATCCAGGACTGAGGCTGTAGGTCCAGGACTGAGGCTGTAGATCCAGGACTGAGGCTGTAGACCCAGGACTGAGGCGGCAGATCCAGGACTGAGGCTGTAGATCCAGGACTGAGGCTGTAGATCCAGGACTGAGGCTGTAGACCCAGGACTGAGGCGGCAGATCCAGGACTGAGGCTGTAGACCCAGGACTGAGGCTGTAGATCCAGGACTGAGGCTGTAGATCCAGGACTGAGGCTGCAGATCCAGGACTGAGGCTGTAGACCCAGGACTGAGGCTGTAGATCCAGGACTGAGGCTGTAGATCCAGGACTGAGGCTGTAGATCCAGGACTGAGGCTGCAGATCCAGGACTGAGGCTGTAGATCCAGGACTGAGGCTGTAGATCCAGGACTGAGGCTGTAGATCCAGGACTGAGGCTCCAGATCCAGGACTGAGGCTGTAGATCCAGGACTGAGGCTGCAGATCCAGGACATAATCAAACAGTAAAAACACAGGAAATTGTCAAGTGTCAGTCAGAGCACCAGCCCCTCACTGATCCTCCTGCAGGTGGTGAGTCCACAGGAGCTGAGATCTTTCAGTGGGGGCTTCAGGTAAAGTGGGATTAAGTGTCTTGCCCAAGGACACAACAACAGCAGTCGTCAGTGGGAGCCGTAAAGTAGGTCTTGTGGTGGGCTCAAACCCACGACCTTCAGGCCTAAAGGCCAATGCCACTGTCGCCCTCTAAATGTTAATAAAAGTCCGTAAATGTCCTGGATCGTCGGTGTCAAAGTCAGGTCCCACGAGCCAGACCCGGCCCACAATAGAATAATCTTGGTCCCCGGGATGATGTTTGATTAGTGTTAGTGTTAGTAAATATTGGATTTGTCATCTAATCATGTGTGTTAGGTCTTAGTTCAATAGATGTTTTAAAATCCTTTTCATATTTTTTTATAAACATTGAACCAGTCCGGCCCTCGCCTTGTAGCAAATTTGTTTTTTTGGTCTCTGATGCATTTGACTTTGACGTGCCTGTCCGGGATCATCACCACGGTCTAAGTGGTGATGATCTAAAAACAACTCCAGGTCTGTTTTTGATGAGGACTGATGTTGTATCGTGACTGAACATGATTCATTATGGAATGTCTGGGCGAGCGTCACCTGATGTGTCGAATTGTTTAACCCACTGATATCAACATTTCGAGTATTATCAGAAATAACTCACGTCATCATTCCTAATTATTCTTTAAGTGTTTGATTTGATTTTCTCTCACTTTTAAATCTGGTCTAAATCATCTCCAAAGTCACGAACAGAGACATCGCCCACGTCTCTTCATCTGAAATCTGCAGGTTTTCTGTTTTCTATTGTTCAAGACGAGGACAGACAAAAAACTGTTTAACTTAAACATGAATTAATGAATGAATAGATAAAGAAATATGTAGAGAACGAGGCCCGAGTCTTTCTGTAACAACTACTTTGATAATTCAGTGAAATGATGACATGAAAACACTGGTTTGATTCAGAGCAAAGTTAAACAGAACTTTATAAGGATGACAACAACAGACAGTAGAGTATATTCTACTCTACTCTACTCTACTCTACTCTACTCTACTCTACTCTACCCAAGCCGAGTCAAGTCAAGTCAAGTAGTATAGAGTATAGGGCCAAGTGGATCAGAATAGGGTATAATAGAGTAGAGCTGGATCTGGATCAAGTAGAGTAGAGTAGGGTAGGGTATGGCAAAGTAGACTGCAAAAGGGTATGGTAGAGTTGAGTAGAGTAGAGTAGAGTAGGGTAGGGTAGGATTGAGTAGAGTAGAGTAGGATAGAAAAGGGTAGAGTACATGACATTCGTGGGATTTAGACGTTGACATTTGCTTGTGTCACCGGTTCACCCAAAAAACTTTCATTTTCACAGATATTTAGAAAAAACACTTGAAGTTTTCCATCTTGACTTGATCCAACTGAAACAAAAGAACTCAGCTCTCCAAAAACAATACAAACCCGTAGCTCACTACGGAGAGAAGTCAGAGAGAGACCAGAGAGCGAGAGATCAGGGTGAAACCAGAGGTAGACCATACATCTCTCTCTCTCTGGTCTCTCTCTGGTCTCTCTCCAGAGAGATCAGAGGTTGTATATCCAGGACTGAGACTGTAGATCAGAGCATTACCATTTCTTCTACTTCTCCTCCTCCTCCTCCGAGTAGTAGTCAGACTCTAGTCAGACTCTGGATCACAGAGACTGAAGCGTGTCGGACCAGAACCACAAAAGAAACCATCTGTGTTTTCTCAGAGCAAAGTGTCCGCGATGTGGAATGTGTGGTGTCGTAGTTTATCAGCAGATCACACATCTATTACCAGGAAAACCGCGAGACCAAAGCTGAACAAGTCTAGGGGGTCTTCACGATCAGACGGAGAGTCGGCTGCTGTGCCTCCCAGACAGAGATAGTGTCACTTTGAACACGTCTCAGAGACATAAGGAGCGACATCTACATCAATCAATCATTTCTACAACATGGACTAAAGCATTTCAGATCCACGCTGCTAAAACAATAGTCTTCCTGAAGTTGTGAAACAGGCCTCTACCCTGACCATGTTCAGATGTTAAAAATATATGCATGTGTTTAGCTGAATTTTTAAGATAAGATAAGATGTGCTTTATTTATCTCACAGAGGAGAAATGTACATGTCACATTTGGCATGGATAGGACACTCAGATTGTGCAAAAGGAGGAAATGTGCAAACATGTTACATGCAGGATATATATGTACAATAAAGTGACAATAATTATGTGCAACAAAAGTGGCAAGTGTCAATTGGAAACAGTGTCAATAGTAGTGCAGGTTTTCACACAGTGATCATTTAAAGTGACTTATTGTACAGTCTGACAGCGGTGGGGATAAAGGCCCTGCGGTAGCGCTCCTTCCTACACTGAGGGTGCCTCAGTCTTCCACTGAAGGAGCTCCTCAGCTCCTCTACAGTCCTGTGCAGTGGATGGCAGTTAGGCGTATACTCTGGCAAGGCAAGTTAATTTGTATAGCACAATTCATGCACAAGGCAACTCAAAAAGCCTAACAAAAGAGAGACTGGAGGTGACTGATGACGCGCTCTCTTTCTGGGGACCAAAAACAATCATTTCGGTTTTGTCTGCGTTTAGCTGAAGGAAGTTGTTTTGCATCCACTCACTGATTTGTTGGATACAGTGAAGGAGTGAGTCCGCTGGTCCATGTTCTCCTGCAGTCAGTGAGACATAGATCTGAGTGTCGTCTGCATAGTTGTGACAGGACACTTCGTTTCTGCGTATTAACTGACCTAATGGCAGCATGTAGAGATTGAACAGAAGAGGTCCCAGGATCGACCCCTGTGGTACTCCACAGGTCAGGGCCATATGATCTGAGACACAGTTTCCAATCTCCACAAAGTACTTCCTGTCCTCAAGGTAAGACCTAAACCAACTTAGGGCGGCGCCAGAGACGCCAACCCAGTCCTCTAGTCTCTGTAAGAGGATCTCATGGTCGACAGTGTCGAAGGCAGCACTTAGATCTAACAGGATTAGGATTGAGACTGCCTGCGTCAGTTTATCGGTTCAACTCACAAAATTTATGTTTGAAGATCTCATAGTTAACCTGGAGGTTGATTAGGCTCTGACCAAGTCCACTTTAGTCCACGGGGCATTCTGACCAGTCTTGGGTCCATGGAAGGTGATGAGGGACTTTTTGTGGTGGAGTGGGAGATGGTTGAGGAACCCCCAGTACAGGTCTGCCTGCTGTAGCCTGGAGCGATGGTGGGGGCTGGAGGTGAGGATGAGAAGGATGGAGGTGAGGATGAGGAGAATGGGGTGAGGATGAGGAGGCTGGAGGTGAGGATGAGGAGAATGGGGTGAGGATGAGGAGGCTGGAGGTGAGGATGAGGAGAATGGGGTGAGGATGAGGAGGCTGGAGGTGAGGATAATGTTGACGGTGGAGGATCTGAGACCTGACATTCCTTAAATCCATGTTAAAATTTGTCTCTCTCTCTCTCCTTCTCCCTCTCTGTCAGACTTCCTCTCGTCAGACGTGTGCGGATCCGACCGTGAGCTGGACGCAGAGACATGCCAGTGCGTCTGCCGTCTCCCCGACCGTCCCTGTCCCCCTCGCCGCCGCTGGGACTCCGCCTCCTGCCAGTGCGTCTGCAGCGCCCCCTCTGGTCACTCCTGTCCTCCACACTTCACCTGGGACTCCACCTCCTGCCAGTGCGTCTGCAGCGCCCCCTCTGGTCACTCCTGTCCTCCACACTTCACCTGGGACTCCACCTCCTGCCAGTGCGTCTGTGCCAAGTCCTGCCCTCACCATCAGCCGCTGAACCCGGCGAGATGCGCGTGCGAGTGCAGCGAGTCTCCGAACAAGTGCTTCCTCCGCGGGCGGCGATTCCACCCGGCAACGTGCAGGTAACACTACTTTGAACACGGAGAGGTTATTTATATGGCACAGTTCATACACAAGGCAACTCTCTCTTTATCTCCCTCTCTCTCCTTCTCTGTCTCTCTCTCCCTCTCTCTGTCTCTCTTTCTCTCTCTCTCTCTCTCTCTCTCTCTGCCCCCCTCTCTCTATCTCCTTCCCTCCCCCCCTTTCTTTCTCTACATGCAGGTAAAAAATCATAAACTGTCTCACATTTTCAGGAATACTGTACCAGATTTTTGCAGCATAAATCTGATCCTGAATAAATCCCCACAAATAGTCTTGACTCTGGGACCACCAGGAGGCCCGTCCCTGTGCTCCTCAGAGTCCCAGCAGGAGGCCAGTCCCTGTGCTCCTCAGAGTCCCAGCAGGAGGCCAGTCCCTGTGCTCCTCAGAGTCCCAGCAGGAGGCCAGTCCCTGTGCTCCTCAGAGTCCCAGCAGGAGGCCAGTCCCTGTGCTCCTCAGAGTCCCAGCAGGAGGCCAGTCCCTGTGCTCCTCAGAGTCCCAGCAGGAGGCCAGTCCCTGTGCTCCTCAGAGTCCCAGCAAAAGGCCAGTCCCTGTGCTCCTCAGAGTCCCAGCAGGAGGCCAGTCCCTGTGCTCCTCAAAGTTGGTTCATATGGCAGATATGTACAGTACTTTAGTACCAGGCAGTGGAGAGACTTGACTGGACTAATGTGATGGTACTTCCTGGTTCTAGCGACGACTCGAGCTGAAAAGTCACAATGGGACGGAAAACGTCATTCCTAATAAACAGTGCCTTGCGAAAGTATTCGGCCCCCTTGAACCTTTCAACATTTCGCCACATTTCAGGCTTCAAACATTTAAAAAAAATTAATTTTTTGTCATGAATCAACAACAAGTGGGACACAATCGTGAAGTGGAACGAAATGCATTGGATAATTTAAACTTTTTTAACAATTAAAAAATTTAAAATGGGGCGTGCAATATTATTCGGCCCCCTTGCGCTAATACTTTGTAGCGCCACCTTTTGCTGCAATTACAGCTGCAAGTCGCTTGGGGTATGTCTCTATCAGTTTTGCACATCGAGAGACTGGAATTGTTGTCCATTCTTCCTTGCAAAACAGCTCGAGCTCAGTGAGGTTGGATGGAGAGCGTTTGTGAACAGCAGTCTTCAGCTCTTTCCACAGATTCTTGATTGGATTCAGGTCTGGACTTTGACTTGGCCATTCTAACACCTGGATACGTCTATTTGTGAACCATTCCATTGTAGATTTGGCTTTATGTTTTGGATCATTGTCCTGTTGTCTACTCTACTCTACTCTACTCTACTCTACTCTACTCTACTCTACTCTACTCTACTCTACCCAAGCCGAGTCAAGTCAAGTCAAGTAGTATAGAGTATAGGGCCAAGTGGATCAAAATAGGGTATAATAGAGTAGAGCTGGATCAAGTAGAGTAGAGTAGGGTAGGGTAAAGTAGACTGCAAAAGGGTATGGTAGAGTTGAGTAGAGTAGAAAAAACTGATAGAGACATACCCCAAGCGACTGTTGGAAGATAAATCTCCGTCCCAGTCTCAGGTCTTGTGCAGACTCCAACAGGTTTTCTTCCAGAATGGTCCTGTATTTGGCTCCATCCATCTTCCCATCAATTTTAGCCATCTTCCCTGTCCCTGCTGAAGAAAAGCAGGCCCAAACCATGATACTGCCACCACCATGTTTGACAGTGGGGATGGTGTGTTCAGGGTGATGAGCTGTGTTGCTTTTACGCCAAACATATCGTTTTGCATTGTGGCCAAAAAGTTCAATTTCGGTTTCATCTGACCAGAGCACCTTCTTCCACATGTTTTTTTGGTGTCTCCCAGGTGGCTTGTGGCAAACTTTAAAAGAGACTTTTTATGGATATCTTTGAGAAATGGCTTTCTTCTTGCCTCTCTCCCATAAAGGCCAGATTTGTGCAGTGCACGACTGATTGTTGTCCTATGGAGAGACTCTCCCACCTCAGCTGTAGTTATCTGCAGTTCATCCAGAGTGATCATGGGCCTCTTGGCTGCATCTCTGATCAGTCTTCTCCTTGTTTGAGATGAAAGTTTGGTGGGACGGCCGGGTCTTGGTAGATTTGCAGTGGTCTGATACTCCTTCCATTTCAATATAACTGCTTGCACAGTGCTCCTTGAGATGTTTAAAGCTTGGGAAATCTTTTTGTATCCAAATCCGGCTTTAAACTTCTCCACAACAGTATCTCGGACCTGCCTGGTGTGTTCCTTTGTCTTCATGGTTCTCTCTGTGCTTTAAACAGAACCCTGAGACTATCAAAGAGCAGGTGCATTTATACGGAGACTTGATTACACACAGATGCATTCTATTTATCATCATCAGTTATTTAGGACAACATTGGATCATTCAAAGATCCTCACTGAACTTCTGGACTGAGTTTGCTGCACTGAAAGTAAAGGGGCCGAATAATATTGCACGCCCCACTTTTCAGTTTTTTATTTGTTAAAAAAGTTGAAATTATCCAAACATATCTTTATGTTTGAAGCCTAAAATGTGGCGAAATGTTGAAAGGTTCAAGGGGGCCGAATACTCGCAAGGCACTGTATGATCAAAAACAAAACATAAATCAAAAATTCTCTATAAATACATTACATCGTAAAAAGCACAAACTGCAGATGCTAAATATTTTACACAAACACTAGATAAAACCCTGTATGTTTTTTTCTCCATGTTTCAGTCCATGTACTGTATATATAAATGTCATAACTGGCAGTCCATATATATAAATGATATATTTCTAAAGCAAACACTATATAATAATACTATAACCGAAGCAGCTTTGACAGAAAATAGAAATGGTGTTTCTCTAAATTGTATTCAATGGCAGCACAGTGGACACAATGTCAGGATTTCCCACGAGAATGAAAATGAGAAGGTTTGAATCCATGGTTCCAACTTTAGACATTGGAAACTCAGATACCCCAGCTTTAGGAGACCTTCACGGTTGCGTCACCTCCTCCGCTCGCCGTGGTTAGCTCTGCTCGTGTGTAATCGAAGCCGCGCTGCTGCTAATGACTTCTGTGAGCTGTCACTTAACCATTTCCTCTCCTCGAACCAAAGGAAGCACTCGCCAAGTCTCACACATCCATCCAACCGGTCCCCCGCTGACCCTCGTGACCCCGCGCTCCGTGATTTATGAAGAGAAGGGCCAGGAATCCACCGGCTGGGACCTGGTTTAGTCCTGGTTTAATCCTGGTTTAATCCTGGTTTAATCCTTGTTTAGTCCTGGTTTGGTTCTGATTTAGTCTGGGTTCAGTCTTAGATGTAATCATTGTTTAGTCTTGATTTTGTCCTGGTTCTGTCTTGGTTAAGTTCAAGTTTAGTCCTGATTAAGTCTTAGTTTAGTCCTGGTTTAATCCTTGCTCCAAGGACTGAGCAAGGATTAAACCAGGACTAAACTAAGACTTAATCAAGGACGGTGACCTGTCCTTGTTACATTCAAGTTTAGTTCTGGTTTAGTCCTGGTTCAGTACTTGTTTAGTCCTGGTTTAATCCGGGTTTAGTCCTGGCGTAATACTGGTTCAGTCCTGGTTTAGTCCTAGTTCAGTCCTGGCTCTGTCTTGTAATCCTTGTTTGGTCTTGATTTTGTCCTGGTTAAGTTCAAGTTTAGACCTGGTTAAATCCTGGTTTCATCCTGGTTTAGACCCGGTTGTGTCCCGGTTTAGTTCTGGTTTAATCCTGGTTCAGTCCATGTTTGGTCCTAGTTTAGTTCTGGTTCAGTCCTGGTTAAATCCAAGTTTAGTCCTGGTTAAGTTCTGGTTCAGTCCTGGTTAAATCCAAGTTTAGTCCTGGTTAAGTCCTATCTTTTGTCCTACTTTAGTCCTGATTTAGTCCCAGTTCTTGGGCGATAGATGAGTCGAAAGAATGAGTAGAAAGTTGGGCTTCTTTGGTTCAAAAGTGAAGAGCAAAGGTTAGTAATAAGTAGTGGAAGAAGTACTTGAGTAAAAATACTTGAGATGGATTTGCAGGTTTTCGCAGCAGTGAGTCTGTCCTGAGTCCAGCCGTAAATCCCAGAAGGAGGTTTTAGTTTGACTGAAATCCAAACCGACGGTGACCTGTGCCCTCTACACATCACCGCGGGTCTTAATGGACGCCTCACGTGTTCCAGCTCGAGGTCTGTTCTGTACGACAACCAGAGAGACCAGAGAGAGACCAGAGAGAGACCAGAGAGAGACCAGAGAAGAGAGACCAGAGAGAGACCAGAGAGAGACCAGAGAGAGACCAGAGAGAGACCAGAGAGAGACCAGAGAGAGACCAGGAATGTAAGACTAGAACCAGGAAGTACCGTCGCATTAGTCCTGGTCTCAGGTCTCCTCTTCCTCTTACAAGTCTGTCCATGGCCTCGGAGAAAAGTACATAAGTGACATGTTAGAGCACGGGGACTGGCCTCCTGCTGGGGCCAAGAGACCAGAGAGACCAGAGAGAGGCCAGAGAGAGACCAGAGTAGAGAGACCAGAGAGAGACCAGAGAGAGACCAATGTAAAGAGACTAGAGAGAGACCATAGAGAGAGACCAGGGAGAGACCAGAAGAGAAGAGAGACCAGAGAGAGACCAGAGAGAGGCCAAAGAGAAACCAGAGAGAGAGACCAGGGAGAGACCAGGGAGAGAGCAGAGAGAGACCAGGGAGAGACCAGAGAGAGGCCAGAGAGAGACCAGAGAGAGGCCAGAGAGAGACCAGAGAGAGACCAGAGAGAGACCAGAGAGAGACCAGAGAGAGACCAGCGAGAGACCAGAAAGAGACCAGAGAGAGACCAGAGAGAAACTAGAGAGAGACCAGAGATAGAGAGTAGAGAGAAACCAAAGTGAGACTAGAGAGATCAGCTAAGATAAGATAAGATGTGCTTTATTTATCTCACAGAGGAGAAATGTACATGTCACATTTGGCATGGATAGAGCACTCAGATTGTGCAAAAGGAGGAAATGTGCAAACATGTTACATGCAGGATATATATGTACAATAAAGTGACAATAATTATGTACAACAAAAGTGACAAGTGTCAATTGGAAACAGTCTCAATAGTAGTGCAGGTTTTCACACAGTGATCATTTAAAGTGACTTATTGTACAGTCTGACAGCGGTGGGGATAAAGGCCCTGCGGTAGCGCTGCTTCCTACACTGAGGGTGTCTCAGTCTTCCACTGAAGGAGCTCCTCAGCTCCTCTACAGTCCTGTGCAGTGGGAGGTGTTGTTCATGATGGAGGTGGCTTTGACTAGCACCTCCTGTCCCTCACCTCCTCCACAGAGTCCAGGGGCCTCCTGTCCCTCACCTCCTCCACAGAGTCCAGGGGCCTCCTGTCCCTCACCTCCTCCACAGAGTCCAGGGGCCTCCTGTCCCTCACCTCCTCCACAGAGTCCAGGGGCCTGCTGTCCCTCACCTCCTCCACAGAGTCCAGGGAGCAGCCCAGAGTGGAGCTGGCCCTCCTGACCAGCTTGTTCAGTCTGTTTCTGTCCCGCTCTGTGCTGCCCGGGGCCCAGCACACGGCAGCGTAGTAAATGGCAGAAGCTACCACAGAGTCATAAAAAGTCCTGAGCAGAGGCCTGCTCACTCCGAAGGACCTCAGCCTCCTCAGAAGGAAGAGGCGACTTTGGCCCTTCTTGTGCAGGGCGTTTGTATTATGGGACCAGTCCAGTTTATTGTTAATGTGAACACCCAGGTACTTGAAGCTGTCCACCAGCTCAATGTCCTCCCCCTGGATGTTCAGCAGCGTGTGGGAAAGTGGTTTCCTCCTGAAATCAATCACCATCTCCTTGGTCTTACTGGTGTTCAAGCACAAGTGGTTGCGCTCACACCAGTCGACAAAGTCCTTGATAACCGACCGATATTCCAGATCGTTCCCCTCAGACACACAGCCCACGATGGCGGAGTCGTCGGAGAACTTCTGCAGGTGACAGCTGTGTGTGTCGTGTGTGAAGTCTGAGGTGTAGATGGTGAAGAGAAACGGTGAGAGGACAGTGCCCTGAGGGGCCCCAGTGCTGCAGACGACCACCTCAGACTCACAGCTAAGAACATATAGGGACCAAAGAGAGACCAGAGAGAGACCAGAGATAGAGACTAGAGAGAGACCAGAGTGAGACTAGAGAGATCAGCTAGAGACCACATAGAGACCAAAGACTAGAGAGAGATAGATAGAGACCAGACTCTGAGGAGCACAGGAACTGGCCTCCTGCTGGTCCCAGAGTCAGGACTAAACTTGAGGAGGCAGCGTTTCAGATTCATGCAGCCAAAATCTTCCTGAAAATATGAGACAGACTTCTCCTCTGACAATGTTCAAATCAAGGTTAAAACAGTTCTTTCTTCTTTACTCTTTATTTATTCTATCTTATTGTCTTCAGCACTTTGAGTTTGCTTGTATGAACGGTGCTATACAGATAAACTTGGGATTTGAACCCTCTCTCTCTTGTTCCCAGTTGTGTTCGAGCTCCGTGTGAAGTTCGGCGGCGACGTTGTGAACCCGGCTTCGTCTTCAGCGAAGAAGTGTGTCGCTGCATACCCTCGCACTGGAGACGCCTGGACTAGACCTGGACCCGGGCCTGGACCAGGGCTTGGACTAAAGGCTGGACTAAAGCCTGGACTAGAGCTGAACCTGGGCCTGGACAAGAGCCTGGACTAGAGCTGAGCCTCGACCTGGACTAAAGCCGGACTTGGGCCTGGGCTAGAGCTTGAACTTGAGCTGGACCAGGGCCTGGACTAGAGCCTGGACTAGATCTTGGACTAGAGCTTGGACTGGAGCTTGGACTAGAGCCTGGACTTGAGCCTGGACTAGGACCAGGACTAGGATCTGGTCTGAAGCGTGGTCTATAGCCTGGACTAAAGCCTGGACTAGAGCTTGGACTAGAGCTTGGACTAGAGCCTGGATTCGAGCCTGGACTAGGACCAGGACTAGGACCAGGACTAAAGTCTGGTCTAAAGCCTGGTCTATAGCCTGGACTAAAGCCTGGACTAGAGCTTGGACTAGAGCTTGGACTAGAGCTTGGACTAGAGCTTGGACTAGAGACTGGACTAGAGCCTGGACAAGGGCCAGGACAAAAGTCTGGTCTGAAGCCTGGTCTACAGCCTGGACTAGAACTGGACCAGGACCTGGACTAGAGCCTGGACTACACTGCAAAAAGTGATGAAAAATAAGTCAAAAATGTGCTCAAATTTAACAAAAACGTTCTTAATTTGGGAACATTCTGAGCCTTAAAACTAGATTTGCCGTTGGGACCAAGAGCAAGGAAGGAAAAACCACTCGATTTTTTCAGTGTAGAACCTGGACTAGAGCCTAGACCAGGGCCAGGACTAAAGCAAGGACTAAAACCTGGACTAAAACCAGGACTAGAGCCATGACCAGGACCAGGACTAGAGCCAGGACTAAAACCAGAACAAGCCCCTCCTCTGCAGCTACAGACCTCAGCACAAAGAGAAACAGACTCTGGTGGAATTGCACTGACTTTAAAGACTTGGAAAGAAGAAAGAAGCTGGAACTTGGAGAAAAACTTGGAGAAAAACTTTAAAATATTGTCTTTAAAGCTGAATGTGTTTGTATTAATTTTATGGCAGTTTTCTTATGTCAGATCGGATTCTATAATTTATTAAATGTGCTTTTGTTGTAACTGTTTTCATGCAAATACACTGTGATGGTTATTTTTGTATCATATAAAGATGGAAATAAAATATACTGGATACGGCGTGGTGTTCAAACTGGGGGGAAAGTACCGGAAATACATAGGGTTAAGGTTAGGGGTAGGTAGCCCTCGTGTACATAACTTTCTATAAAAGTGTTTCCATAATATTTGGTAAAATTTGTATAACTTGGGGTTAACTTTTTCCATAGGCCTCCACAAGGTTATTGGGTGAATTCTGGCCCATTCCTCTGTACTGCACTATACGGGGAAATGGTCTCAGTTCTCTTGAGTTCCCACTGAGATTTCAGAATGTCTTTAACAGGGGAGTCTTGGCCCCAGAGAGAGGGGACCTGTAATACATGTGCAGATAGACGCATACACACACACAGACACACACACACAGACAGACACACACACACGCACCTCACACTGTGTTGACATCTCCACAGACACACACACCTCACACTGTGTTGACATCTCCACAGACATACACAGACACACACACACACACACACACACACCTCACACTGTGTTGACATCTCCACAGACATACACACACAGACACACACATACACGTTTTTGTTACCTGGTGGGTCCCTTTGACAGGGCCGTTCAGAATGGGACCCATAGACATAATCTTTTTTTACTGGGACTACTTTAAGTAATACAAAACAGTCAATAGAAACCAAACAACTATTTTAAAGGAATTTTATTTTAGATTTTGTTTTCGAATTGCAGTGATTCTATTTTTGACATAGAATTTAATGCCACTCCATGTCCGATGTCTAAGGTCATCTGGTGAGGCATTAATGCAGGCCAGGCAGTGAGACTTCCCAGGGACCTTTCCAGTCTGTATGAAAGGTGTCATGGTCTTCTCCACAGCCTTCACCTCAGATGCAGACCATGGCTTTCTTACACGTTCTAGGGAGAGAAATAAAAATATATTAGCAATATACACTCCCAGGGTTAGGACCAAGCAGCCTGGCTGTAATCCCCCACCTGGTACACTTACCAGAAGGGGCACTGCCACTACCATGGGGTGCATCTGGATGAATGGTTGAAGGTTCTCCGCTTGAAGTTTCTTTTAGCCCGTCCGTTTGTGAGAGGATCTCTACTGCTCTCCCTGTCGCACAGAAAATAAAAATACAAGTGGCCTTTAGGGGAAAAAAATCATACATATTTTAATAATATCAAGAATTACCTTCAGGCTCAATTTGTATCTGGTCGAGGCTCTTTCCTTCGAATTCCGTCACTCTTCCCTGCTCCATGGCCATCAACACTTTGCTGATTTTGGCCAGCTCCAGTGTCCCCTCTGGTAGTCTGTAATATTGCCTGTGGATGCGAATGTCATGGCCGAGGAAGTTGGCAAGTATGTCCATCTCATTCTCTTTCATATTGAGAACTGTAGACATAGTAGCTATGTGCTTTCTAAGTTTGGTTGAGGATAGCATCTCTGGATGCACCGCACCACATTCTTTGGCTACCTGGCGTAGGGAGTCTGATCCCCTGATGTGGGTGTCTGCGCCCGGGCGGGAAAAGAAGTATGGGTTATGGTCAGAGATGGAACAGGCCCTTCTGTTCTCCACCAGCACCTCCATCGAAGCAATCATTTCAGGAGTCAAAAGAACCGGCACTTTCCGACTTCTTTTCCCTTTAATTTCAATGCGTTGAAAATGCTGACACAGCTTTTTCTCAAGTTGGGACAGTCCCAGAGCAATGTCAGAATGGATCCCAGTCTTACTTCTTAAGGTAAAGGCTGTCAGTGGCATCTTTGAAACCTCACCTTCCCTTCTTCGATTGAAAATGATGACCTCACAAAGAGTCAAAACTGCCAGTTTAGACCAATGCTTAGACGTTGGCTCACTTATTAGGGTTTGCACATATTCAGGTCGACATACCTCAATATGTGCATGCATGGCTCTAACGTCCTCAGTCAGAGGGAGCAGGTCCGGAGTGTTCCACTTGGCTTGCCGGAGGGTCTGTAGGGCAGCAGAAGAAACACAGACGTCCCACCTCTTCTCAAAAAGCAGCCGGCTTCGTTGGAGGTTTTTAATAAATAGTTCATCAACACAATGCTCCATTTTTGAGTCACATTCAAGAATATCTGCTAGCTTTCTGAGGCTATGGCCGAGTTTGAGGGCCAAGGATGGAGTCTTGTATTGATTTGTTTCCTCATCATATCCAGCCACAGACCTGACTGCATCAATCACATGGTTAAAGTTGGAAGGAATAAAGAAATCCTTAATTGTTTTCAGTTTCCCTGCGGTTTTTGCTTCGTTAATTAACCTACCGACTTCTCTCATTTTCTGCCTAATGTAATCATGCTTTGTCTTATCATGCCCGTGTTTTAAGTACAGGTGCTCTCCGAGTCTCAGAATCCCCTTTTCTGCTTTGACAACACCCGTGACCTCATCCTGATGCATTGCCGAAATTAAAGACCACAGCTTTTTGCTGATGCCCTCCGGTACAGGCTGGGCTAGGGAGCAGAGGGACTGGACCCTACTTCTACCTGGTTTAGCCTGGGCATCTTTCTGTGAAAGCCGGCACCTGGCCACATGCCTCCACAGCGACTTTCGCTTAAGCAATGCCCCACAGTCTATACAGTGCAAAAACTCACTGGATTTAACTGGGGAATTTGGCTGTTTAGCTGGGACTAAAGTTCCAATGCCGGCCTTTAAAACCTCAAAATTGTGCTCACGGTTTCCACTATTCCTGATCAAATCAAACTGAAGTTTACGTGCTTTAGATTTCACAGGTAGAGCCAATGCTCTGGCTACGTCACTTTCATTTCCATGTTTTCTAGTCAAATGACGGGACATTTTGTGGCAGGACATTGAACAGTAGAGGCAGAAGTGTCTCTTGCTGTATACTCGCCCCCCATTTTTCTTCTTTTGCAGCTGCATGATAACAATCTTATTTGCCTTTGGTTCGTCACTTTCCGAGTCTTGAAGAAAAGTGTTTTTGATTTTTCTTTTTCCATACTTTTTTACAGGTTTCTTCTTGACAGTTAAATCGTCAGAATCTGAGTCGACTTCATCAATTAGGGACTCTTGACTAAGCTGCACAAACAACAAATAATTTGTAATCATTCTATATAACAATTTGAAGTCATGACTTGTAGTCAGCACTTACCAGTGGTTTGTAAGCGTGCGCTTCAGTGTGCTCCTCCATGATTTCTTGCAGCCTAATGAACCACACACTTGCACCTTTTTCTAGCCTGACACCTGATTTCCTCTGTTGTGCTGCTCCATGATTGGCTCCAGCCTGCTGGACTGAAATTGCCCCAGTGTGCCCCTCCTTGATATCCCGCAACCCACCACCAGGGTTCCGACACATAACACACTTTTTTCAGGAAAGTAAACCTCCAGGGGTCCTTTCCATATTTTTACAGAGACTGCATAAGGACCGTTAGAAAAGCATTACCCATTGATTATTAAGCTTGGACCAGTGGGGTCCGGTGTTCGGGCCCCACCACGTAAAACCAGTCCCCATGACGTGAGTGGAATCTCAGGTTATGGAACCCACCAGGAGTTGAAAACAAGTGCACACACACACACACACACACACACACACACCTCACACTGTGTTGACATCTCCACAGACCTCCTGGAGAGCAGATTTTCTGAGTAACAATGCGTCAGTTTGTATCAAACCGGATCAAAGATGAATCCTCCTCAAATTCTTGGTTCGTGACGAGTCCTTCCTGCTCCTCATATCACAAATATGAAAACACACAGTCACTCACACTCACACTCATACAGACACACACACACACACACACACACACTGCTCCTATCATCACAAATATGAAAAGACACAGACCGAGAAAGTCAGATTTTTACCACAAACTGTACTGTACAGAGACAATAAACTCATTTAAATTATTATAACATGCCAAAGTAACCCATTGCA